ATTAGAATAGCAGTTATAAAGAAAAGTGAAACATATAGAAAAAAATGAGATATACAAAAATTATCACCATGTCAGTTAATACTTAGTTGGTAACCTTTAGCATGAATTACGGCCTTACAACGTCTTCCCATGGAGTGAACCAAGTCCTTTAGTTCTGCAGCTGTTATAATGTGAAACCAAGATTGCATGATTGCTTCTATTAACTGGGTTTATTGCTGGGTCGCTTCTGACTAACAAGTTTCTTTAGTCAGCTCCATAGATTTTCAATTGGGTTAAGGTCTGGGCTATTCCCAGGCCATTCCAGCAGTGGAATATGATTATCTTGAAACCACTTTTTACACACAGCAGCAACATGACATAGAGTTGAATCCTGTTGAAATATAAATGCTTCATTGTCTTGGAAAAGATCATGTGCGGAAGGCTTCAGTTTGGGCTCAAGTATTTCATTAATGTATTTTTGCCACTTGTATTCCCATTAATCACACAAATTCTGTCCGTACTTTTTGATGTCATACAACCCTAGATCATAACACTGATTGGGTGTTGCACAGTACATGTAATGCAATCACGATGCAAATCTTTTCTGATTCTTCTCCTTACGTATTTTATGCCATCACTACCAAACAGGGAGATCTTGGTCTCATCACTCCAAATAACACTGTCCCATTGTTCCTCTGTCCAGGTAACATGGGTTTTAGCCAAGTTTAGTCTTTTCAACTTTTGTTTGAGAGAAAAAGTGGCTTTTTTGTGGAATTCTAGATTTTAGGCCAAATTCCTGCAGTCTGAGCCAAACAGTCCTTGCACTCAACTTCACACTGCATTGCGCCATTTCATCTTGTATACACCCAGATGATTTTCTTCTGTCACGTAGGCACAGTCTCTTAATTCTTCTATCATCATTTGCTGTTGTGCACCTTTTCCTGCCTTTACCAGTGTGGTTTTGTAGTGACTGGGTTTCCTTATACCTCTTCAAAAACTTAGAAATGCCACCTTTGATTAAGTTTCCACCAATTTTTCTTCTAATTTCTTTATAACTGTAGCCTTGTTCACTTAATAATACTATTTTACATCATTTTCTGGGCGACCAGTCAACTCTTTGCACCATTACTTTAATTTTATTACATTTTACAAGCTCACTAAATGAAAGAACACAAAAAATACCAACCAACTTGATAGCGATCACATAACACACTGACAAATGTCCTCCTCTCAGCTTCAATACATGACATCAATGATTGGCCCATTGCCAAAACAAGATGACACCTGATTGGCTCTTTAAACATTCATGCTCATTGGCTACAATCAGATGAAGGAAAGCTACCTGAAATCAACCTAAGCAAGTTGTGCTTCCTTTTACTGGTTATTTGGCTATAATTTTTCATAGAATACAGTACAGATAATTGAACAAACTTCATTGCATTACAGTCTTGATTAAATAATCTTTCCATTGATATATAATATTATGGTACTACTCCAAAAGAAAGTGGTGTTATTAGCCATCAAACCTCAAATGTACACTTTTCCCAAAAGGTTTCCACAATCCTGGCCACTACTGTACACTGTATTGTTCAGCAAATGCTGTGGATATAGTATACTTGGATTTCAGTAAGACATTTGACAAATGAGATTACAACCTAGTTCTTGGTAAGCTAGAAAACTGGGACAAACAACATTACCACCGAATGGGTTGGTAACTGGCTGACAAACTGCACTCAACATGTAATCCTTAATAAAATTACAGCTACATTGAGGGAAGTAAGCAATGGGAGCCCCAAGGTTTTGTTTTAGGCTCAGTACCCTTCAATACCTTCATAAACGATTTAGATGAATGAATAGAAATCATCAAATTTGCAGATGACACCAAGCTGGCAGGAACGGCCAACATCCCTGAAGGTAGACTCAAGATCCAAATTTATCTCAAAAGACTTGAACAATACCCCTATCTAACAAAATGAAATTCAATGGAGAGAAAAGTAAAGTTTTGCACTGGGGGGGTGGGGGGGGTAGTCAAATGCACAGGTCAGATTAGGTAAAATCTGGCTCAACAGCAGTAACTGTGAGAGGAATCTTGGGGTCATAGTGGACAGTCACCTAAATAAGAGCCAGCAGTGTTCTGCAGCCTCCAAAACAGCCAATGCAATCCTAGGATGCATTAACAGAGGATAGAATCAAGATCATGTGAAGTGTTAATATCACTCAGTAAGACGTTAATAAGCCCACACTTGGAATACTGCATCCAGTTTTGGTCACAATATAAAAAATATGTTGAGCTTTAGAAAGAGTGCAAAGAAGAGCAACAAATATGATTAGGGGGCTGTAGGATAAAATATATTAAGAATGGTTGCAGAAATTGGGTATGTGAAAAGAAGGACTAGAAGTGACATGACAGCAGTGTTCCAATATTTGAGGTGCTGCCACAAAGAAGAGGGGGTCAACCTGTTCTCCAAAGCACCAAGACAATGGATAGAAACTAATCAGGGAGAAAAGCACGCTAGAACTAAGGAAAAAATTCCTGACAGTGAGAACAATTAACCAGTGGAATGGCTTGCATCCAGAAGTTGTGGGTGCTCCATCACTGGAGGCTTTCAAAAAGAGATTGGACAGCCATTTGTCTGAAAAGGTATAGGGCAATGTGGTGAGCCTATGGCATGGTTGCCAGAGGCGGCACTCAGAGCCCTCTCTGTGGGCACGTGAACCGTGGCCCCAGTCCTAGGCCTTCAGCTGGGTTTTATAAAACCTTTTCGCTTTAGGCCTCCGCCGCCATGTGCAAAAAAAAAAAGGTTCAATCAGTCAATTTCAACTTCTTGCGGAAAAAAAATCTTGCAAAATTGGAATTATTGATTGAACTTTTTAGTCCCACCCAGTCTGCCATTAGCACTGCAGCCACGCCCACCCAATGGGCCACGCCCACCCAATGGGCCACACCCACCCAGCACTCGACAATGCGTAAGTGGGTTTTGGGTTGCAGTTTGGGCACTCGGTCTCTAAAAGGTTCGCCATCACTGGTATAGGGTCTCCAGCTTGAGCAGGGGGTTGGACAAGAAGATCTCCACGATCCCTTCTAACTCTGTTACTCTAAATCAGTGGTTCTCAACCTTTCTAATGCCGTGACCCCATAATACAGTTCCCCATGTTGTGGTGACCCCCAACCACTTATACATCACCGGGTGCCAGGGGCGTGGCCAAAGAAAAGGGGAAAAAATGGCGGACAGCCTTGTTTGGCGACCCCCGTGAAATGGTCATTCACCCCAAATGGGGTCCCGACCCACAGGTTGAGAACCACTGCTCTAAATATATAAAAGCAACTTTAAACATATTTAAATGTTACTGAGTTCTTTGTCTTGTGCTTGCCCGATTACTTGCAGTGCTTGTTAGGAAAGCATTTGTAACTTTCTTGGTTGATGCTCTTCATGTATAAGGCACTATTACATTGAAGTAATACAGAATAATATTACATTGAAAAAACAATATAGATAAGAATGATTTATACTGTCATAACCAGTTTGATAACCACTACATAAATAATACAGCCTCAATAATCCTATACTGAGGTAGTAATTCAATTAAAAAAAACAATGGCAAGTGAGGAATACATTGTAACAACCTTGTAAAAATGTGATAAACAATGTTATTTAAAACAGGGAGAAATAAAGATCCTTATTTTTCTATAGAAAAAATACATATCTAAACATTTGTATTGCAAGGTTCTCAGATAATAGCTGATATGATTTATATAATCATATTTTTGCTCCTACCTGTCTATTTTGGTAGTTCAATCCCATTAAGTATCTTCATTATATCTGTTGGTTCAAATAATGAGAAAAAATCCAAATGTTGCTCAGTGTATAACTCAGTAAATGAGACATTATGCTATCTAAGTAATATCAATTAACCAGTGTTGCTCAACCTTGACAATTTTAAGGCATGTGGACTTCAACTCCCAGAATTCCACAGCCAGCATTGCTGGCTGTGGAATTCTGGGAGTTGAAGTCCACATGCCTTAAAATTGTCAAGGTTGAGAAACACTGAATTAGACATTCTCGAAGAAAATATTGCAATTTTTTAGATTTATATGTGATATAAAAACTATTATGTTACTTTTTAAAATGATTTCAAGCAAATTTAGGTGGCCTGTTTGTGTAGCATTAAAATTATCTTAGCTAATTCATTTATGATAATACTATCATTACTTTGTTCAAATGTCGTTCCAATAGACAAAAATAAAACTCTGTGCAGCATACAGAAACAGAGGTGCCAACCTGCCCGTACCTCATCAACCAAATCACCAGCAGACTTTGGCAAGCGCCACTACCGCAAGGGTTCAGATCCATGAATCACCACGTTATAGTGCACAATCCACCTCAACTCCCTCCCCACAATTTCATGGCACGTGATAGGCCCATTCACAAGTCAACGTACAGGACTGCAAAATGTAACTCACAAAAAAGCACAGCAGAGATTTGCCGTACAATTCAATAAGCGTCTAAACATTAGTTTGGCCCGTTTGCAGTCCACTCTTTTCCTCCAGAAGGCTCGGGAATTAGAATATCATCCTGGAAATAGCCTTCCTTCTATATAAAACCCGCCCTGTCGTTTATTCGCTGTTTACTTTTTGACATCAGAGGTCACCGCAACTGACTCCTCCATTTCTCACAATCGCGACTTTAAGGGACCCACAACCTCAGAAAGAGTCAGACGGCGTGCTCACTCGCCGTCGGAAAAAAGAGTGAACCTACGGGAACACCAGGAGAATTGCCGAGCAGCACTTTTCGGTAATGCCCTTGCTCGGGACTCTTCCTCTCTTGCTACCTAGTTTCAGCAGCCAGGCAGCCAAAGCCACCCACTTCAACGTCGCTCTCGACTGAATGAAAAGGGGTGGAGAAACACGTCGAAGGTCGCCGCTTCCCGTTTTTTCCCCGCTCTCGCGAGAAGCGCCACAGCCGCAACGGCGGTTTTAAAAACCAAGGGGCGAGAGGGCGGCTGCCGACTCTACCAATTGCTCGCCCGGCACGTGATCGGAATTGTCCCCTCCCCCTTCTCGCTTTTCAGTAGTCTACATGCGACTGTCCTAGGTAGTAGCTTGGACTCGCTTTGTTGTGTTTGCTGTTTGGCCACGTGATAGTCGCCTCTCGCCTCGTCCCGGAAGAAAGCCGAGGCGAGGCTTTGGGTGCTTCCTCACCTTCTGTTGTCTCGTCAGGGGGAGCACGTAGGGGTGGCTCTCGCGGATGTGTCAGGTTGAAGCTCGGAGGCTTCGACGTCGGCCATGGCTGCTGCTGTTCTGGAGCCCGCAAGCGAGGACTGGGAGCAGCCTCTTTTGAACGGAGGTGGAGATGAAAGGTGCCTAGGGGCGACTCCACTTGGGTCTTATTTGGTAGGGGCGTATCCCCCTGGACTCCAGAAGCGATGGAGTCAAAATCCTCTGTATCGCAACTCAAGTTGTCTCACGCTGAAGATGCTGGGAATTGTAATATTAACTGCTCTACAGCTTCATCGTAAGCTGCGCTCCTTGGTGTGTAAGAAGGAGAAGCCTATAATCGGGGGTAGTGAAATTAGCTTTGAAGCTCAGTTTAAAACACGCATTACAAAATAGCGAAATGAATATAAGAAACCAATACAACTGATGGTGATATCCTATCGGTATTAAAATCTGCGATGTCTAATATAAATGACACCTCATGTATTTGTATTTATGTATAATGAATTTTATTAGTGTATATCAGATTGCATGACATCAGTAGCTGGCCTAGGCTAAATAAATACATCTGTGTTAAAAATCTTAATAGATTTTTGACCTACAGGCTGTTGCACTGTTAATAAAATATGTACGAAGGCCAGGTTTGTTTATTAAGGCACAGAAGGTATTTTTGATATTTTATGGGCACAATGGGGCTGTGTACTTTAAACAGACATTTTAATTGTTTTTTTAAATCTTTCAGGTCTCTTGGGTTTTTCGAATATCATATGACAAGGGTCTCTAACTTAGGCAACTTTAAGACTTGTGGACTTCAACTCCCAGAATTGCTGGGAGTCTTAAAGTTGCCAAGGTTGGAGACCTCTGCCGTATGGTAATGTTGAATAATGATTTTTATGGTGTTTATTGCATAACATTGAGTATACTAAAGTATACATTTTTTATTTTTGTTTCCCTGGAGGGAAATCCGATTAATCTTATGGAGTAAGACTAGTGTGGCACCTTAAATTACGGACAGTCCTCTAGTGACCTTCTTAAAACACAGTATTGTAGTTGCTGTCTGTCCAATGGAAAATAGAGAAGAGTTATGACTCCTGATCTTGCAATTACTTTTGTGTATCCAGCCTATATATATTTATGTTTAATAAGTTTATATAGCCACCCAGCATACAAATTGTGATTGGGTCGTCATCTTGTTTCATATAGAGAATTTTTGCATGCTGATATTTTTGCCCTGACCTACATCAAAAGGGTTGACATCAATGTTAAAAGTTTCTTTGATTTCTTTATTTTCTTGTGACAATGTTATTGTCTGCTCCCTCCTCAATACCCACATTCTTCCTCCAGGTCAAAAGACCCTGTATCATGTCCGGATAATATAACCAGTTTTCTGTACTGCATCTGCCCAGCATTCAATGCCCTAGTCCCAGATACCCAGGTTCTTCCCCTCTCCAAATCATACAAACATACAAATCTGACAGCTCACTTTGTTCTCAGTTGGGATAGCTGGAGATCTAAATATGACTGGGGAGAGGAGCTGACATCTACATTCCAATCAACACTATCTTCTAAACATTTGCTGTATCATCTTTAAATCACTTTATGCATAAAGTGCTGTCCGGTTTGATCCCCCATATCTTATGCTCATGTCTTTGATATTTTCTACCCACATTTAAGATTTAGCATTGAAATACATTCTGATGGCATATTTCTGTCCATTTCATGCTTAGCAATTGTTGAATCTGATTATTGTAAAATAGAACAGAGTATTGCCAACACATGAGACATGCATCAGAGAATGATTTTGATCATACCAAGATAGGAATAAATGACTAAATGTAAATATAGTAACATATAGTCTTAACACTTCTTGAGTTAGAATTTGTTAAAGAATGATGAGCATTTGATATGTTAATATTAATCTCATTAATATTACAATATTGTTTGTTACAGATCTAAGGATGTTATGGAAACATTGCAACATTACAGGAGCCGGTGGAGATCCATTCGAATAATGTATCTTACAATGTTCTTCAGCAGTGTTGGTTTGTAAAATTTGCTAACCAGTCATCAGTTTTTTTTAATATAATGCTGTTACTGTTATTTCCTTGGATATTAATTAAAATATTGTGTAGAAATTCCTTATATAACAAACTGTTTTATTTAATCTTTTTGGCTCATTTGTAAGTTAAACATTTTCTGTAATTTATGTAGGATTTAACAAAAACAAAATACTAGACTATAGCATTATAAACTAGCACCAATGGAAGAACAACTGTCGCAATAAGCAAACTCAGGAACTTGTTCATAAATTTATAGGGACCAGATGGAATTAAGCCTGGCTGAAGCAAATGCTTGCCAGCAGAATCAATAGCATGGTTCTATTTCCAATATGTTCTGTGGCCATTGTTAGGGTAACTATGGTAAAACATGGTCAGTGTTCATAAATTGTCTATGTAGTTGCCTTGACTTTTCCTTAATATTGTGGTTTGTTGTAAAATGGTACGAAGTATTTTCTAGGTTTCTGGATCATCTTGTATAACAGATGATAAATAATGAAGGCTTGCTCATTAAAAGAAACTGAAGAATGTATACAATAAATTAAAGAGTTTTCACACTGTTAAAGTTCCATGTAAGCAATTCCACATATGCACCTGCCATTGACTGAATTTCTCTTTCTTGAAGGTAGATATTTTACCTTCTGTAGTTAAACTATATAATCAAGTATCATTGGATAACCTATAGCTTATCTGTAGATAGTTTAATTTTCTTAAAAGTATCATTAAAGTTTGCAAGACAAGGTTAAACATATCTAAAATTATTTGGAATTTTTGACCTTTTTTTTCCAAAATAACATAACTCCTTTTTTTTGTATAGAATTTTGTATTTTTATTTCTCTGAATATGGTCAAAATAGGTGACAAAAAAGTACTAGAGAAAAATAACTAAAATACTTTATGTTGCAGGTTTCTCTATTGTCATTATGTCAATATGGCCCTATCTTCAACAGGTTTGTAAATGACATAAATTTTTATTTCCATGATGTTAACTTAGGCATCTGAGAGCTGTAGTGGTATGTCATGATTAAGGCACCAAGCTAGAAACTAGGATACTGTGAGTTTTAGTCTTGCTCTCAGCACAAAGAAGCTGAGTGACCTTTGGCCATCCTCTCTGTAGGAAGGAGGCATTGCTAAACCATTTCAAAAACTATTGCCAAGAAAACTACAGAGATTTGTCCAGGCTTTTGCCAGGAATCAACACTGATTTGAACTACCAAATAACAATAAAGTTATAGTATGAGTTCATTCAGCCAAAATGAAAGATAAGTATTTACAATACTTAAAATACCAAAGATCATTATATTTAACTTTGGTGTTTTTGTGGGACTAATGGAAAAATAATTTGCAATGTCCAGATTGCTGCTTTCTATTTCAAATATTGGGATCACTAGCACAGGGCTTTTCAACCTTTTCACCCATTGTACCACTTTTAGCATATGGTGACATCCGAGTACCACCAGTCGCCTAGCAAGGTGTCAAAAATTTGATGACCCCCCCCCCAAAAAGTGAAAGTACAGGTACTCCTCAACTTACAACAGTTCACTTAATGACTGTTCGAAGTTACAATGGCACTGAAAAAAGTGCCCCCCCAAGCCACAGCCGAGCAAGACGCCCGCCTGCCAGCGGTGCTCTTCTGTCCGAGGTTTTCATTGTTGTGAGCATTTCTGTTGAGGATTGTCAGCAGAGGTGGGGTGGGGGGATGTTTGATTTTTATTCCCCCCCCCTCTGCTGGGTGGTTGCAGCAGGTTTTGATCACTTCACATGACCCTGGGACACTGTGACCGTTATAAATATGAATCAGTTGCCAAGCATCTGAATGTAAATCACAAGACCTTGGAGATGCTGCAACATTCCAGCTGATTGGCGCTTCTTCTAGGCTCAGCAGAAGCGCCAGGATCAGCGCCGAGCTCCAGCTGGAGCCTGGCGCTGATCCTGGTGCTTCCGCTGAGCCCTGACAGCCCCGAAGAAGCGCTGATCCTGGCACTTCCGCTGAACCCTGACAGTCCTGCAGCTCCAGCCAACTCTTGCTCAGGCTTGTGCGGTGCTGCCACCGGTTCAGCTCATTGCTCTCCCCCACTACCACTTTTCTATGATGGTCATGTACCACTTGCCAGGTGCCAATGTACCACAGGTGGTACCCGTACCACTAGTTGAAAAGCCCTGCACTAGCACACCTACTGGTGGAAATTTATAAAAGGCTTTATGAGTTTTTGCCCCTGGATTGTAGAAAGAAGTCTTTATTAATATTAGGATTCCATATTTAAAGGCCTTCAAATTTACATAAAATTCACTATTTCAGTCTGACTTTCATGATAGTTGTTTTAGTATACTTAATCTATTTTGTTTTAGTGTACATAAAATTAAATTTCCCTGAGCTGGGAAAGGTAGTATAGAAATAAAATAATATTTTAATAATGGAAATGTAAATTCCCCTATTTTTCCCCTCTACTAATGAAATAGTTTAGAGGGGAATGAATTGCAATTATTTCATGGTCTTACGTAGTGATTTATGGTTCTGATTTGATTTTTTAAAAAAAATCCAGATTATGGAGGGAGAATTGTATGCTGCTTAGACTTACTACAATGGCCTGTAGGCCTTATCAATAAAATCTTTTGTTCAAAGATTACTTTATTTTACATAATATACAGATAGTCCTTGACTTACGACCACAATTGAGCCCAAAATTTATGTTGGTAAGCGAGACAATTAAGTGAGTTGTGCCCCATTTTATGACCTTTCTTGGCACAGTTGTTAAATGAATCACTGCAATTGTTAAGTTAGTAAAAGTTATTAAGTGAATCAGTCTTTCCCATTGATTTTGCTTGTCAGAAGGTTGCAAAAGGTGATCACATGACCCCCATACACTACAACCATCATAAATATTTTCTGGGGAAATATAAGATGGTAAGACATAGGAGAGCTTAGGTTATAGTGTAATGGTGTAATCAGTTGAGTTACATACAATTAAAGTAGGACCAGCATCATAATTTGCAGAGATTCATTTTATGGAAAAGAAGAACAGCTATAATAATAAAAAAAAAACATATTGAAGTGCAACAGTTTAGATGTTTTGACTAGGATTTGGAGGACCAGGCTCAAGTCCTCTGTCAGTTATGGAAGCTCATTGGGTGACTTTGAGCCAATCAATATCATCACCCAAACTTATTCTAGAGAATTGGTGTTTTGATTGCCATTTTTAACTTCTGGAGAAAATGATGTTTATAAGTAATAAAAAGAGGAAAGTGCATGATGCCAACCCCTCAAAATATTTGTCATGGATTCTTTTGAAACTCTATACCAGCCACCTAACAATATATAAATTATTCAGTAACCACTCATTTACAATTTGGAATGTGTATTCTTATCTTTTTATGTGATACTGCTAAAAATACTATTTTTGTGACTATCATAATGTGGAAGGATAGTGCTTCATAGACTAGTTTTAAATTTAAACTTCAGTCTTTTTCCATGCTAGTTTAACAGTGTTATTCTATAAGTTATTAATAAACTTAATTCACTAACTAAGTCTGCCAGATTTAATATATAAATGCTGTGTTCTCTAATTTAACCTTGTACATTAAAAATGTTCTCTTCATTAACATTTACCTATGTTTTAGTAGCATGACAATATCTGTTAGAATTGAATATTTTAATTACGGCGTCCTACTGATAAATAAAATATTGTTGAAATTATATTTATGGTTTCCATAGATAGATAAAACTGCGGATCCAAGCTTTCTGGGCTGGATTATTGCTTCGTACAGCATTGGTCAGATGATAGCTTCTCCATTCTTTGGAACATGGTCTAATTATAGGCCAAGAAGAGAACCCCTTGTGGTTTCAACTACTATTTCAATAGCTGCCAATTTCCTCTATGCTTATGTCCATTTGCCCCCTTCACACAACAAATACTACATGCTAGCTGCTCGAGCATTGGTGGGATTTGGTGCAGGTAATTTTAGAAATATTTAAAGTTTGCTATATTAGTAGCTATGTGTATTTAAGGCAATTCAGCTATTTGTTAGAGAAATCAAAATCTCAGGCCCTTGAGATCCCTTCTACCCCAACAAGTTGGCACTCAGAACCTCTTGAGTAAATGTATAATCCTGCTGATTGTCTCAACATATAGATTGAAAGGTTTTCCCAGAATCCTACTTACTAATGTTTGTGCCATGGCTTTCTGTAGGATTAGAGAGTCTCCTAAGTTGAGTTACCCCAAAGTGCAGTATTCTAAGTAATAGATTCATCAGAAGATTTCCTGAGACATCAGTCTAAAAGTACTACTCATATTAGTTTTAGAGATTTTTCTTATATGAAAAAAAATTGCAAAGAAGATTTTCTCAAGCTCATTGATTTTTTTGATTACTGTAATTGTTTTCAAGATAAAGATTCTTTAGCATTTTTTAGTTATTAATTTCTGTAGTGATGAGATCTATTAAAAATAGATTTGGTGAGCAGACAAAAGACCAAGATTTTGCTTACTATACCGTTGGCCTTTTAGCTAGCTTGCGCATATGATTAAAAACATATATGTTTCTTAGGTTTTCCAGATAAACACCCTTTTGTTTTGTTTTAGGAAATGTAGCAGTAGTTCGCTCATATATTGCTGGTGCCACCTCTCTTACTGAAAGAACTAATGCCATGGCAAACACTAGTGCTTGCCAGGCAGTGGGATTCATACTGGGACCAGGTACAATTTGCATTGTATTCCCATTTTCTTCAAGTGATTCATTAATCAGTTCAGGAGGAAAATGCTCTCCCATTTCTTAATCAAAGTGTACATATTTAAACTTTAATTTACTATATAAAATATAATAATAATATTGTACTATATGTTCCCAATTTGACAGACTCCAATTTTCATTTAGTTTTTTTACAGTTTATTGATAAAATCTAAAGCAGTGCATGTCAAGGAAAAATATTCATACAACTACTAAAAGAATTATGTAATTATCTGGTATTTTAATCACAAGTGAACACTTTAACAATTGATTTTTTATTTACTTAATGCATTAGGTTTTTAGCTGCTGCAATAAAATTTCTATATTTTTTTATAATTAACATCAGGATACATGCTGTTAAAATCCAATTGTATAAACTTATATTTTCTATTAGTTTTTCAGGCTCTCTTTTCACTTATTGGAGAAGAAGGAATCTTGTGGAAACTGATTTATCTTCGAGTGAACATGTACACAGCTCCAGTTTTATTTGGAAGTGTTCTAGGAATTATTAATATCGTACTGATAATTGCTGTATTTAGGTAATTGGAAATTTAAAAACTTGTGAATGTTTATAAGAAAGGTCTTTCAATTTGTGCAGAAAAATCTCTATTCTTCTTAGTCCACATAGTTTTTTTTAGTTTATGAATCAAGAAAAAGAAAGAAAAGAGTAATTTGTGGATTTTGTAGTTTTTAATATTTCTCAATCAACAATTGCAGTATATCTTAGTTTGAAGTTACTAAGTCTCATCACTGAGCATAATTTCTATAAAATAACATATAAGTGCTTCTTTTCTATTCTCAAGTTATTTGTATAGATTGTTTATAAGACTTCATCCATAAAACAAGATTCATTGCATAATTGAATTAACAAAGAATTGTGCCAAATAACATTGTTTCAACACAAAACTATCAATTATATTGAAAGTTTCTTTGATATATTCAATTGTTTCACACAATCTCTTAATTTTTAGAGAGCATCATGTGGATGACATGGGACAACCACAAAATAGTATTAATACTGAAACTGAAGGTAATTTGAAATATGTTTTAATATACTTGCTAGTATAGTTAGAAATAGTATCAAATAACAGTGTGTGAAGGATGTAGGTGATAGCTTTTGGGATAAATGTTTTATGTCTCTAAGAGCAACTACCTACAAATTCAAATCAAATTTATTAGATTTGATGGTTCACAAGCAAGCACTAATAATTGCAACTGGTCATGAATAGAAATATATCTGCAGTGAGTATGAATGTTATTACAGTGCAACTTCTAGATAAATACTAATGTCTAATTGTATACTAAGATTCTACTGGAAAATATGAAGGCATCTTAAAGTACCAAATTCTAAAGAGAAATTTAAAAGTAATGAGCATGCTGCCAAAAGTGACCAATGTACCTGATTTTCTAGACCCCTCTAGATTCTTAATGAAAGAAAAATAGTTCTGCCCAGTTTGGAAATAATTATTTATGAGATTTGTTTGCTGTCCATATTACTTTGGAACAACTCTGGATGGCTTACAACATTAAAAGCCAGTAAAACCATGAAAATAAGTATTTATAATAATAAAAATTACAATTCAGAGATGGAAAGAAAGGAAATAGGATGAGCAGGGGGGAAGATGGGGTCTTCTCTTAATCCATCAACCAACTCCATCATGATACACCCTCAATGGGCCCCAGGCCAACTGGCAGAACCAGGTTTTAAGGCCATTATGGAAGATCAGCAGCCTGGGAGTGGATCTCACCTGTGGAGGGGGCAAGATGTTCCAAAGGACAAGTGCCATGACAGAAAAGGCTCTTTTTCAAGACCCCGCCAATTCCTTGACTGATGAGACCTGCAGCATGTCTCTTCTGCCAGCAGAGGTGAAGTAGGCCAGTCCCATTGGAATAAGATGGTTCCTCAGATAACCTGTACCCATGCCATGCAGGACTTTAAAGATGATAACCAACATTTTGAATTGCACCTGGAGGCAAACCGGCAGCTAGTGCAGTTCATGTGACAGCAGTATAACATGGGTCACTCTAGGGGCCCCAAGAATTGTCCGCACCGCCACACTCTGTACCAGTTGTAGCTTCTGAATGCTCTTCAAAGGTAGCCCTATGTAGAGCACATTGCAATAGTTTAAGCATGAGATGACCAGGGCTTGAGAGATTGAGTGCAGGGTGCAGCTAGTACACAATACAAAGTTGTGTAAAGGCCCTTCTAGCCATGACTGCTACCTGCACTTCGAGCAGAAGTTATAAGACCAGAAGAACTATCATTGTTCAGGCAACAAAACAAAACAAGTGTTAGGTCTGCAATTATATTCCTCCTGACATCATCACTTTCCAGATTAGGAAATTTCTGGAATTGGTTGAACCATAGGTTCCAATGTCACGTACATCACAAACTTGTTTATCAAGTCCCAGATATCTTCTGCTATGGTAATTGGAGGAGAGAATGTATAGCCTGAATTTTATTGGTCATGTTAAGGTGATTAACAAGATTCATGAACTCTGATATTTTGCTCTTTTTTCATGCAAGTATTGCAATAAATTGAAAAGCTACAGTTAACCATAATTCTAATATTCATGCAAGATTCTTCCCTGCATAGACATTAACAGCTGTAGTACCATGTTCTAATGAAATGGAAAATTATATTAGCTACAGTTTCCTGTATTGTTCTGCCATTAAAAGGGAGATAAAGGCGCTGCATGTTCTTTATGTCCATAAATCTTATGCATATTGCATGAACTAAGATTTTCTCAAATTAAAATAATTGCATCTATATCAATGCTATGTAGGTCTTTATCAATTACCTTTTTTTCCAAATACAGAAAATAATGATGTGGTTCAAGATAATCAGCAATACATTGACCATGTGGCTGTTGTATCAACAAACTTTCTTTTCTTTATTATCCTATTTATTTTTGCAGTTTTTGAAACGTAAGTATTTTTTTTGTATCTGTTTTTTAAAAATAATATTTTTTGCATTTCTGCATAATTTTATGAATAGAGTCTGCTATGACATTTCCTATGATACCTTTTTCTTACCACCATAATAGATTTAATACATCCAGACATACATAAACTATCACTATCAGCCATCCTACTTGGGGTGTTATTTATTTATTTATACCTCACCTTTAATTATTTTTTACAAATAACTCAAAGCATTGAACATATCCAACACACCTTTCTCCTATTTTCCCCATGAGAATCCTGTCAGGTGAGTCACCCAACTGGCTGTCTTGGCTAAGGTGGAACTTGAACTCATGGTTTTCTGATTTCTAGCCTGGTGCCCTTAACCACTAAACCAAATGGGCTCTCCCTTTACCTTCCAAAGTTTCATTCGTATTTTATAGTTCTACAACAGCATACTATCTATCTATCTATCTATCTATCTATCTATCTATCTATCTATCTATCTATCTATCTATCTATCTGAACTTCAATTTATATTATGATTATCTGACATTGGAAGATTTTTTCTGAAGAAAATGAAAGGCTTGTGTTTACATGCAGAGTTAGAGAAACAAAAAATGCCTTGGAGTGAAAAAAATGCCTTAAAGTGTAAAGATATGTGTAATTAGATTAATGTTATATTCAGAATTCAGAATAAATCACAAGTTGAGTTTTTAAGAGAAAATTTCACAGGAGGATAACAAGCATTATCAGGGAAAAATTTATCAAGTGTATATTTTAGAAAATAATTTATAGCCTAATTGGATAAAGTAATATTGTTCTAGCTGTAAATATAGAAATGGCATGTCTTTTATAAAATCATATCAGATGTTTGTTGTGTAATTATATAATTCATACATATTCAAATATATTGTCATACATTTCTAATTAGTATAATTTTTTCTTCACAGTTTTATGTGAATATATAAATTTTCTTCCTATTTGCTACTTTTTCTTCACATACTATATTTTTTGTGAAATATTAACCATTTCCTTCTCAGTGTTCTGGCTATAATTTTATTATAAAAACTTACTAATTTGCATTTTAGTCTTTAAAAAATTTCAAGGACCAATATCTTTAAATATTTTTGAATTTGAAACATTTCTATTTGAAGCACTTGTTTTTTTGTATTATGCTATTGGTACAAATGCTTCATAGGGTTTTTATTCAGTTTCAAAGTTGTTAGTTACAATTAGATAGTTGGTGAACACTGAAATTCAGAAAGTTCTCTACTATATTTAATTTGTCTTTTATTGTATTCTTTAGCATAGCTACACCATTAACAATGGATATGTATGCATGGACCAGAAAAAAAGCAGTGTTTATCAATGGCTTAATTCTTGGTGCTGTTGGCGTCGAATCAGTGGTTGTGTTTTTAGCAGTTAAAGAACTTTCTAAAAGGTAATATGTTCAAGTTATATTGTTTCAGTATAATTTTTATTTTCAGAAAAATCTGATTTCTAAGTTCTAGAGTACAAATGGCTGTGTGTAAATGCATTTTTCCTGTAGTGATCAATTTATGCATTATCGTTGATACTTAAATCATTACCTTGAAACATTTATTATACTATTAAGAACAAAAGACTCAGGCTTTGAATATGGAAAATTTTACTTGGATAAAATATGGGTATTGTAATTTTAGTTTTCATTATTCAACAGAATTGGTGAACGTGCAATCCTCTATGGAGGTCTAGTCATTATCTTGGTTGGATTCTTTATTCTGTTACCTTGGGGAAATCAATTTCCTAATATCCAATGGGCAGGTATAAATTTAAATGTTTGCATTATTATTTTAAGGTCTTTGAAGAATACATTTTGTCATATATGATATTTTATTTGTATGTTTTCAGACATAAGGAATAATTCTACTCCAAGAAAGATCATTGGTGAAAGTTTTGCATTTTTGTGGATGTCACAGATTGAATTTTCATCTAATAATATAACTGAAGCAACAGGATGTCCTAGTATACAATTGTGGTGCAGTTATACTCCCGTAATTCATCTGGGCCAGTATATCACTTCCGACATTCTAATAGGATTGGGTTATCCAGCTTGTAATGTGATGTCATATACTCTATATTCAAAAATTTTAGGGCCAAAACCTCAGGTAAGATTTATATTTAGGCTGATAATTTTTTTAACTGGTTTAACAGTTTTGGAAAATAGGTTGCCAAGTGGTAGATTACTGAGTTTGGAACTATTTTTTTTTTGTCATGCTTTGGTTAAGCAATAAAATTACATAACATCAGTATATTTTATCATCTAGCTTACATGATCTGGTGCAATACCGCTATGAATTGCTTCCTGTAATAGTTTTATTTCATCAAAGAAGTTCCTTTTTTATCCCTTCAGATTTCAATTTTTTTTAAAATAAAGCTGAGCTACTGAATGTTTTGTATATGAAGGACAATGAGATTTTTTGGGATAGCAACCATTTTACTAAAAGCTATTATCTAATCAGGGCTCTTCCATCAGGGCAGAAGGTCCCTTCCATCTTTATTATTATTATTATTAATTAATGAATATGCTACAATCTACTTTAAACTTTGTAGTTCCTTACTGGTTGTTTCATAGTTTGTTCTTTTAATATTATACTATTTTTAACTTAGCTTATATGTCACTTTGAGTTGCTTGACAATCAAGCCAGCTCATAAATCCTAATAATGCTACTGCTATTATTACTGATGGTGGTGGTGGTAGTTTGCTGTTGCCAAACTGGGAGAATAATAGATTTTGTTTGAATATTTCAGGGTTAAAACCTGTCATTAACACTGAACACAATCTGATGTTTTAGGGCATTTATATGGGATGGCTAACTGCTTGTGGAAGTGGTGGACGTATTCTGGGCCCGGTGTTTGTCAGTCAACTCTACAGTTCCTTAGGACCCCGCTGGGCATTTGGTTTCATCTGTGGAATTGTTATTCTTTCTCTCTTACTACTTGAAGTGGTGTACAAGAGACTTATTGCATTTTCAGTCAGATATGAGATGCTACAAGAACAGATTTCCTAGCTATCTGTTCTGTCTTGTTTTGTTTTAATCATTATTTGCTGTTTTCAGTATTTTGCATCTTTGAAAGATGGTATATAGAATTATCATTCATCAGGACAGACAGTATTTCTGCCACCAGATTTATATCACTTTAATACTGGAAATGACAAACTGTGATACAATAGATGTTATTATTTTGGAGTATAGTTTTAAGAGATGGCACTAGTTCTAATTATATACACTAGATATATTTAAAATACATTGATTCTGTGAATCATGTCTTAAATTAAGTTTTTTAAACTGAATTTAAAAAGGGTATTTATTCTAACGAAGTTTTATGAGCATGATTATTTATGCATTTTTATAATTGGTTGGCTTTTTTAAATTGAATGTATTTTAAGTAAAATATAGCAGAAACTAATCCTGATATTTTGTTGCACATATTTTGGAATTTATAATTTTAAAAAATGGTTCAAATAAGATCAAGATTCAAAGTAAAAATAAAGAATGTTGATGCAGCACTTGTAATAAAGATAAGTACTGAAACTGATAGAAGATTTAATAACTGGAGGCTACTGAGATAGATATCTGAGGTTTCTACCATTACACCAAGAATCTTAATCACTGCTTTCCTGAACGGTAAAACCCAAAGTTGCTTTTTCACAAGGCAACTAGACTTTCTTGTTTTTCTTTGAAGACATTTAGCTTCTGATCCAAGAAGCTTCTTCAGCTCAAAGAAAAACAAAGTCGTTGCCTCATGAAAAAGCAGCTTTGGGATAACTATGGCCTGGATGTCTGAGAATCTCCATAGACACAAAACGGTAAAACTTTAACCTATTGTGAAATGCACATTAAATTAGAAAAAAAATGTTTAAATGGTAATTGCCCAGTACTGTAGTTACCTTCCCCACCCCCAAATTGTGGAACAGTCTAACCAAGTTAATTTTAGATTTGGTTTTCTTAAAAATTTGAACTTTTTCATCCCAAAGTTATCTTGTACAGTTCCATGTCTCATAAACAGGACTTCCAGATTGCAAATCAGAAGTTTGGTGATGTCAGATGTTGCTGAGACTCGGGAGAAATAGAGGCAATGCACCCCTGGTGATGTCACAGAAGGCAGGGTTCTGGTTGCATAGCACAGCCTTTCATTTATTTGTGGATCACTTACATGAAATGTTTGCTAACAAGATTTTGGATAGAGATATAGAAAATGGTGAATTCGTAAGTTGTTTTGTGCTTGACATAGCTGGTATCAGTTGATTGTTTTCCTAAATGAAATGAGTTTCATTCTGAAATAAAATGAAATACTATAGGGCTGTCTGTTTCCAACTAAATAGTAAAATGTGGATATCTGGACTGAAATGTTTGATGGAAAGGTAATGAGAATCGGGAAAAGTCAAAGATAGCAATGGTAGATCAGGAAAATAATAGGAAAGGAAGGAAAATATTTAAGAATATGTATATCTGAAATTTAAAAAAATCATTTTCCATTCCATGCACACCTATTTTTTTTGTTTCTGTTCATCTCTAAGTCAAAGCAAAATAAAATAAAATAAAATACATAAAAGTCTTTATATAGTCTTATGTTCTATATATAACATACATGCATATATTCTCATTTACACATTTTTTTCACTGAACTGTAATGAAAATTGTCTACCAATAACAAACAATGTAAAAACCAGAACTGTACAATATTTCAGGTTTTGTCTCCAATATGTTTTGCAACATTTTAGAGCAGCTGTTATCCTGGAAAAAGGTGGGATTACTTCAAAATATAGCATATAATTACTATTATAGTGCTTTCTTCCACTCTGAAGCACCATGGAGATTGAAACTAAAGCACTGTATAAACCTGGTAAAAATTCCTTAAGAAACCACTTAAGTTTTTCCTGTTATTCATTTTCAATTTGTGAAACAATGTATTTTACAATGATCTTCACAAAAAAGACAATTGAGAGTACTTAGGAAGGTCCTCATGCTTCGTTTTCACATGAAGGTTAAACATTTTTTAGAAAAAATGGCAATCTTGTCTGATGTCATGAAATATGCTGTGCTGCTTCCTCAATACCATAGGATATGCTTGTTTATAAATATATAATTGTTTCTATTATATGTGATGTCTATTTATTGATCAGTTAAATATAATATAGACCCAAACAAGTAAATAGTGTCACATAGCTGCTAGGTAATAAAATCATAAGGGTCTGTGATGAAATTTGCCTAATTTATGGTTTCTTCTCTAACCTGCTTTCTCCTTATTTTGAAACTTTTGCAATTGAGACCCGGATTATTTTTTTCTCCAGAATTCTTTCAGTGCTATAAGAGGGGGTTTCTTTTGTTAGTGTTGTTTGCTTTTTTCATATTAGCTTTTACTTCCAATGCAAAGAAAGACAAATACTACCGTTGGCTCAATAACCTTTTTTTTTACTATATTAATTTTACTATTTCTGTTTGAACTTTCAATTTCCCTTTAAACTAACATACAAACCTAGAGATAGATAGTTTCTAGAACAGAGGTCCCCAACCTTTTGGGCACCAGGGACTGGTTCTGTGGAGAAGGTTTTTCCACGGACCAGAGAGTGCGTGGTTTTGTGTGCTACCTATATACCACGGATGGGTCTTTGCTTGTTTGTGCGGACCGGTTGCTGGCATGCTGTGGCCTGGTATCAGTCTGCGGACCAGGGGTGGGGATCCCTGTTCTAGAACACTCCCAGGAATGTTTCTGCCACATTAGGTTTCTTTCCCAAATTTAATATGACACTAGAACCATTAAATAAACCTGTTACTTGGAGTGCATCCAAGTGTACAAAACGTATGGATTCTACTGTAGATTAGAGTTTTATTAGTAAACTAGTATCACCGTGCATACCTAGACATTTGTGTTAAATAAATCAAGGGATCTAAATTATCACTGCATTTATTTTTTAACACTTTTGCAGGGATATTTCATTAGAAAGTTACAAAAATATAAAACAATCATAAAACAATACTTTTCATATCTGAAAATAGCATAAAATACAAAATATTTACAGGCATATATTGCAATAGCAGTTTTTTTTTCTTGAGAGCTGCGATAACAGAACATGCACATATATACATTGGGGGGGGGGAATCAAGATGGTTTCAGGATTCTCTTTAAATTACATGAAATGCAAGTAATTTTGCTTTAATGTTTTAAAAGGAGAACACTTATACATCAATTCCAGTCAAGAAAAAACTCTGGATTTTTTGAGGAAAGTTTACTATTGTGTATAAAAAGAATTTATTACCACTGAGTTATTTAAATTTGTCATATGCGGTTTGTCAGTGAGGGCCAACTGGATTGGTAAACATTACCAGAATGGAAGATAGACAGTGCAACTTTTCTTTGATGAATTCTGGCAATTTCTCATCTTCTTTATACCTAAGAAAACACACAAGATACCAATATTCCAATTTTAATCTGTTGGGATGCACTTTTTATTTTACATCATTTGAGTATGTAAGGGAAGTAATCTTACAGTAAGAAAGAACTGCACTGAATACTTGGGAAGGAACCAAAACCATAATGAGCTCTGTTGTAATTTTGGGGGGGGGGAGGCGGGGGGGGGCTAGGTTTTAGTTCTCAAAACTACATTAAATTGTAGTGCAAACCTAAAATGGTTTGACAATGGATTCCCAACTATGTTTCTGTGCAATGGAGGGATAGGAGGGGTAATCTGTGATGATATTCGGGATCTTTGTCCTTGGCTATAAAATGGCTGGAGATCTCTGAAGCACAAGAAACTCTTCATAATATTCTGAGGCACTGAAGAGAATTTAAGAAAGCTGATATTAATCCACCCATGAATAACTTGTGGAAGCAGGATCTTCATTTATGAGGCAGAGTTAACCAGGAATTAATTACTCATGTATCTAAAGGTTAAAAAGTTTCCATTCCTGATCTTGCTAGATGGTAATTTCTAACTCATTCAAATTATTTAAAATGGATAAACAATCACATTGAGCCAGACAATACTGGATTTTGTGAGCGCATATGAAAGATAAACTCCTGAAATGACAACTATGGTGATGGGCGTAACCAATTACTAAGAACTCATTTGTGAACTAGCCTCATAGGTATTGTCTCTTGAAGTACCTTTCTGGAGCCTCTAAAGCAGTGGTTCTCAACCCTTCTAATGCCGTGACCCCATAATACAGTTCCCCATGTTGTGGTGACCCCCAAGTGGGTGTGGCCACCAATAAGAGGGAGTAGGACAGCTAGGGAAAAGGGGAAAAAATGGCGGACTGCGTTGTTTGGCGACCCCCGTGAAATGGTCATTCGACCCCAAATGGGGTCCCGACCCACAGGTTGAGAACCACTGCTCTAAAGCATTCTCCCACTAAATATGATGAAAGCTGGTATTTTGCTTTGCAGCAGGCAAGCTTTCTAATTTTGTTTTATGAAAAGTCATTTTTAAAAAAATCAGGGAGGGACAAACTGGAGTCCAGAAACATTCATCTCTTGGATTAAATGTTCTGATTAGGGCTATTATCGCATTAACAAATGAAAATAATGGCCTAGTGATTTAATGTTACCACAGTTTAAGGACAAAGCTAAGAGATTTTAAAAAATGTATGCTATGATTGTACTTTGCGTATACAGAGCAAAAATTAGTCAACCACTTATAATCTACATTGTGGACCTAATGTGTGGTTACTATATAGTACAAATTAAAATAGGATTGAGTAAATTATAGTGACGTTAGCCATAGATTGCATTTTTTCACATTTCTCTTACATAAATATATTTTAAATACTGGAAGTTCCTAAAATTAATTCATCAACTACTGTTTTGAGATGTCAGGAGTTTTTGTCATTTAGTGTTAAAACAAAACCACTAGATGAATTTGCACATAATTGTAGAACATATGGTTTCTGCATAAGTGCATATGCATATCCAGCTGCTACCCCCCAAGAAAAGGCAGGAGGAGTCAACAAAAATTTAGTTAGTTTCACTAGCAGATTCCTATTTTGTTATTATACACAAATCAGGAATTGTGATTTTAAATAAGTTAGTTTGTCTAAGAATTAAGAGTTTAAGAATTTTGAGTTAAGAGTTATTATAGTTTACTTTAATTACATTTGCTGGTCTATGTATAAATCAGTCTTCGTAGATTGTTTCAGTTCAATAATTCCAATTGAGTGAAACATGCAAACAAAGCATTCATTTCAAGTCACATTTCAACAAGGCTTACTAATGGGTTATATTTTATGTTCCCTGTTTTCCTAGTCTTTTCATGAAAATGATTTCAGAACATGAATTATCCTATCAGAGGATTGTCCATTCATTTATAAAATGTTCAGATGAAAACACTGAAGCAGACTGGCTTATAGCATAATTGAGCTTGTAAAAACATGGCTCCATTACTCTTGGAAAACATTCATGTGCTATGCTTCCAAAGATGGCTTATTTACTTTTTTCAACTTGGCCTCTGAGTTAGTTCAGCGTTAAAGGAGAAGCAAGATCAAAATTACATGATTTAGGACAATGTAGATATAATTTTCCTTTTAAAAATTTAATCATGATGACATTGAAACATATAATTTGGCATTTGAATAATTTGACATTGAAAATTTTTTCTCAATATACATATACACATAAAATTTTAGTTTTCAGTTATTTATTTAGTGGTTTTCCTATTTTTATTGTTTTTAGGGGGTTCCTCTTTTTCTCTCTTAATTTTAGTTCAGATTATTTGTTAAACATTATATAATAATTTTTCTGTAAAAGGATCTGTTATATTAGTAACATTGTTATAAAGTTGATAGCATGGAATGCCTTCTAAGAAATTTTAATTATATTTTAAAAATAATATAAATGTAGCAGTACAAGATAGTTGAATTGATGAAAAACAAATGGAGAAAGTAACAAAATACGAGAATTCGCAAACTGAAATTTTAATATTTAATTTTTTTATCAAAATTGTCACACTGACTTTGCAAAAAATCATTGCTTGGAACTTCCCACATACTAACATCTCCACAGTCCCCACGTTCTTGCTTAGAAATCAAATGAGAAAATATAAAGTCTAGAGACTGATATTTATTAAAGGATCTTGTTATTAGTAATAAGACTGATACATACCTAACTGTGTCACCAGCTGGAGATGTGTAAGTAATAGAGGAAACGCCAGCCTGAGCAACCAATTGGGATCCATCATTAAATTGAACCCATACTGCCCCACTTGTCAACTAGTAGAAAAAATAAAGATTATTTCACATACGGAAGTCTGTAAAATTTTTTCCTTTACCTAGTCCTTTACCTAGAATTGACTGTTTGCCCAGAAAGCGATGTAAAATAGTATTATTAAGTGAACAAGGCTACAGTTATAAAGAAATTAGAAGAAAAATGGGTGGAAACTTAACCAAAGGTTGCATTTTTATTGTACACTTTTCCCAAAAGGTTTCCATAATTTTGGCCGCCACTGTAGCTATAGCCTAATCTGTAGCAAACATCAAAACATGAGCAGAGTGAGAACAGTTACAGCTTTACAAATCTACTTGTAATTTGCTCTCTCCTCCATCTTCATTCTGATCATATAAAGCTTATTGGGGTTTTTTTTCTGAGTGAATTCCATACTCACCTGAGAAGCCCAGCCAACATTCTTTACAAAGACAGATTTTAGCAATTGTGCTGAATGTGGAACACGGTCATTGGAGCTGCTAGAAGAGCTCTTTGATTCAACTGTAGCTTCTGTGAATGCAGATCCTTCATAGCACATCTAGAAAGTATTCATGGAAATATAAGATAGCAACAATAGATCAAACTTTCCCAGAGGTTTCAGTGTTTAGCAAAATAATTTAATTTCATTAATTATATATCAAGAATTCAATCTTGTCATTATCCATCTCAATACCATTGCTCAGATTTCTCTAAACAATCTTGGACAGTTACCAAAATTAAAATTTAACATTATAGCATATTTTTTTAAAAAATCTCATAATAAAAGAATGATCTGTACATGTGCTTACTTACAGATAGGTTAATATTGGAGGCTTGAGTTGAAGATTCAGATTTGGCAACATCTCTCTTCAAAGCTATACTCATTAAAGATGGGGCTATACTTGATAAAGCTTTTGGAGATTCAGGATTTCCTGGTTTACTGAAATGGAGAAAAGATACATTTAGCTCTACATGAAAGCATAAATAAAAATCTCTAAGAAAAAGTGTCAACCATGTGAGAAGCTATTGGAAAAATAAAGAACACCAAATGTGACAGCTTACCGACCAACAATAATGGGGAAAAATGGAACACTTTCACTTCTTTCTTCTGCCAAAATTGCAGTTTCCAGTGCAAGACAAATGCGATGAGCCTATTAAAATAAGGAAAAATATACATGTAGGCACATTAAAATTACATTGATAGTGTAGTTTTGTTCCTTTATGATGGAACAAGAGCACAGTGGACAACAGTAATACTAACAGAAAGTATTGATAATTCTATAAAAAAGGCAATTTAAAGCTATATACCTGGAAACAATTTATTAAAATTGACAATTGAGATTATTTTGCATTGATTCATTTGCCCCAGCTGTCTATCACATCTTTTTATAGTTTTTCAACCACAAACACGGAGCTGGAACAGAACAGATGAATTGGAAAATGCAGTTTCACACCTCCACATTTTAAAATATAAACAATATTCACCTCATTTGCATGATGCACATATATTTGTATATCCTTCTGTAAATTTTCATTTTCTTCTTTTATTGTATAGGCTTTTCCAGATTTTTCAATTATTCTT